ATATATATATATATATATATATATATACATTAAAAATTATAATAAACATATACATTGTGTCAGAATAAAAATTTATAATTATAAACAAAAATAATACGTTTTACTTAATATCAACAAATCAACAATATTAAATAAAAATATTTAATAATTTAATATTTAGTTTTTACACACAAACAACAATATAAATGTTATATTAGTATTAATAAAATAATTAAGATATAATAATATAATATATTTGCATAAAATTGCTTTTCAGTATAAAACATGATTTATCTAAATTATATACAGTAGAGGTACATTGCATTTAGAAGGCTTTGTGAAAGGACTTGACTGACTAGCAGTAACCTTGGTATACTAGTTAGTTTTTATACAACATCCTTCAGACAACATCTACTGTATATAAAATCTGAAAAAAAAAAACTAGAAAAAAATATAAATTTCAATTGAATTACAAATTTTGCAAATTATATAATTACATATTAAAATATTTTTATTTATTGTTACATAAATATAATCGCATGAAATAAGTACTTTTGACGTGTAAAATTTAAATAAATAATAAAAAATTAACAAAGTTTTACGTATATATTACGTATAATCTACATCTAAAATTATTCCGCGAAATATCACGGACTATTACTCTACCGCAGATTAATGGAACCGGGAAAATTGAAGAGGAAACAATTGATTGCCATTCGAATTGAATCAAATCACACTTCCATTTGGCATTCAATATGCGCTTAAATATATTCCACGTAAATTACATGCCAGGAATTTATTGCGACAAATTTTATGGTAAGAAAGATTGAAACAAACGAAAATATCGATATACGATTTATGAAATAGATCGGGCAAAAGTCACTGATAAATCGAATGATAAAACTCGATTAGACTTGAACGTTATCGTTCTAATTTATTTTTATTTTAATTATTTCGTGTGTTATTTATATTCTTCTGTATACCACACATACACACACACACACACACACACACACACACACACACACACACACACACAAATGCTCTTTTCATATGTTTATAAAGTTATTTAATAGAACGTCGGAAGCAGAAACCTCTAATCAAATTCTATGTGATAAGATCTACTGATAAGATGGCCGCGCGATTAATCAAATCCGGATTACGTTGGAAATGAAGCTAAAGTTATTCACGAGTTCCGCTTACTCACCCAATTTTGTGATTTAAATTGTG